AGTGCTTCTTCATTCATTTCCATCAAATTATTGATAATTGGTGATGATTCTTTGTCACTCATTTTAGGAATGGAATAATAATAGAGTGTTGTGGTAAATGAAATTAAGAAGAGAAGTAGTAGTTGTTCAAATGATTTAATATAATAATTGCCCAAATGATATGTATGCATGTATTTATAGGGAAGGAGCTATGCAAGGACGGCTCAAATACATTAGTAACTTAAACTCTAAAGCCAAGTTCGAAGTCCTTAATTTTTTTTAAATTTTTTTTATGAAGTTTATTGTAGTCATTCCACTTAATTTTTCTTGAGACATAATATTCTAAATTTTTAATATTTTTTTCCTTTTATAACATTATTTTTTATAAAAAAAAACACCTATAACCTATATTAGTACTTTTTTAAAAAAATAAAGCACCTCAAATTTGGGGTCCTAGGCAATATATATATGGCAAGGGATCAGTATCTGCTTTATGTTTCAGTGTTCGTAGTTTTGGCCAGCAAGAGATTTCCATTGAAAAATGCTTTAGATTTTCATTTAAAATTCACTTATTAGTTAAGGAAATGCCCATAAATAAATAAACATATATATATATATATAATTTTAATCTATTAATAAAATTTCGATTTTTCGGTGCACTGAAGTTTTGAGACCCTTACACCGAGCACTGAATCAAACTTTTAAAAAAATAACACCGAATTGAAAATCGAAGAAATGAATTATTTGATTTGATTTGATTTTTCGATTTTTAGGTATTTATGCTCACCCCTAGTCAACACTACTAAAACAAATGAAACTAAAAATATAATATAAGTTCTCAATTCAAAACAAAAAATTTGACATATACTCTTATGTCAAATTTCAACATAACATATCATATTTAAAGAACAAAAAAACGTAAGTCTATAATCTTACTTAACAAATAGATTCTACTTCAATTTAAAAATTAGAATACTAACAAAATTATGTTAATGAAATAAATAAACATAACATAAAAAAAAAAAAAATACAAATAACTTTTTTTTAAAAGGATAATAGAATAGAAAATAAATTAAAACAAAAAAAAAATTACACCATGTAAATTGTAATTTTCAGCAATTTAATTGGAGAATGTAATTATCCAACTAATTACATCAAATTATGTGCTAACCAAATAATTACATGACCATTCAAACAAATTAGAGTGCGTAAATTAGAGAAATGACATAAATAGTCCCTTAACTATAGGAGTAGGTCTAAAATGGTCCCTTAACTATATACTTAACGGATTTAGTCCTTTAACTATTCAAAAACTTATCAGCTTTGGTCTCTTAACTATACACTTACCGGTTTTAGTTCCTTAACTATAAACTTACCGATTTAGTCCTTTAAGTATTCAAAAACTTATCAAGTTTGGTCTTTGTCCATTTTTAAATACAAATAGCTTAGGTTTATATTAACGAAAATCTTCATGAAATTAAATCTTTAACCCATTTTTAAAGTTGTTTCTCTATTCCCGCCCTTTTTCCTCCAAACTACTCTTATGAAAAGAACAATAATGTCAACGATTCAAAATAAAATTAATGAGGAAGAAGATATAAGTCCTAATTTTATTCAATGAGGATAAAATTAAGCATATAATTATTGTTGATGACTTGAATCACACTTGAATATGTTAATTAGTGTGGATTTTTATTTAATTTACACAAATTTCTTTACGTAAATAAAATGAATAGAATAATAAAATTGATCGTTCAATGAAATCGTTGGAGTACAAACTTTGGATTTAACGGGTAATAATTTTTTTCTTTTTTATAATAAAGTTAAGCAGATTCAAGTCATTAGTAGCAATAATATGCTTCATTTTATCCTTCGTTGAATAAAATTATAACTTATATTTTCTTTCCTCGTGAATTTTATTTTAAATCATCGAGGTTATGATTCTTCGCATAAGGTTAATTTGAAGAAAAAGTAGCGGAGAGAGAGAAACAATACAAAAAATTGCTAAAGGATTTAATTTCTCGGGGGATGGATTCCGTTAATATTAATCTAAGCTATTTGTATATTAAAACAATGGACAAAGACCAAACTTGATAAGTTTTTGAATATTTAAAGGACTAAAATCGGTAAGCTTATAGTTAAGAGACTAAAATCGGTAAGTGTATAGTTAAGGGACCAAAACTAATAAGTTTTTAAATAGTTAAAAAACTAAATCCGTTAAGTATATAGTTAATGAACCATTTTAGACATACTCTTATAGTTAATGGACTATTTATGCCATTTTCTCGTGTAAATTACACCAAATCTAATTAGGACACTTTTCAAACTGCCATAAAAGATTTTACGAGTTGACTTCAAACTGACGAATTCGCGTAAAAAATGAGACCACTCGCCATTTTAAACACATAAACACAACTACTGCCACCACCATCGCGCCTGCGACTCCATCTCCACCATAACTCCGGTGAGTTTTCTCTCTGTCTCTTCCCTTCTTCTTCATATATCGTCTCTTTCCCTGCATCTAGATGGCCTCCATCCATGTTTCCCTAGGTCCATGGTAATTCGAAAATAGGGTGTGTGAATCGGTGAAAATGTTGAGCTCATGTTTTGATTTGCTTCCTCATGTCACGCTTCTCAATGATTAACTGCTGTACCGAACTATAAATCACGAAATTTGGGAGGGTAAATGATCCATGTCCACTGAATATGTTGTGCACATGAGGTGCTCGACGAATTGTCACACTGAAATTCTCACACTGCGCATCCTGCCTGTCAGTTTAATCAAGTTGCTGTTTCATTTTCCATTTTAATAAAGTAATCCAGTTTGGATTTTTAAGTATACCCCTGTACAAAATGTATAGGGGACCTATGAGTCTTAATATTTCTATTAGGAACTACAAAATTTGGACTTAAGTTATCTAATGTTAAGAATTGTAGAGGAGAAAACTTAGAAGGAAAAAAATGGATTTCTTTTTAACTCACTTGACAACTCTAATACAGTAGGCTTGGTTCCTATGTGTACTAGCCGAACATGGAAATGTTATTTTTTCTTTTTCTATTTGGTTACAACAACATACCCAATTTACCCCCATCTCATGAAGGTAGTTAGATTTTTCGAAAGACCCTTGGCTCAAGTGTTAGTAAATCAAAAAAGAAATATGGCAGTGAAGAAAACGTGACAACTAATATGGAAAACAATACAAAGCATTTAGAAAAAAAGAATAGTAACAACAACGAAATAATGTAGTAACCAAAACACAATTGGCAACAGATATCAAAAGCGAGAAACCACATGAATAAGGTTAATACTATGACAGACACGGTGCTCCAGACTCTCACCAAGCCTAATTCCGCCAAAAAGCGAAACAACACTCGACTACCTACTAATATTTTCCGCGACTCCATGCCCTCCTATATAAGGTTATATTCTCAATAAGTTGAAGTTGTGTCATGTTTGTTCTAATCACCTCTCCCCAATATTTCTCTAGCCTACTCTATGTCTCCATCTCTCCTCATACCACCATAACTAACCTCTCACACCTTTCTCTAGGACATCTGCGCCTCTCTTCTTCGCATGCCCAAACCATTTAAGTCTCGCTTCCCTCATCTTGTCCACCACGGAGGTCACTCCCACCTTGTTCCAAATATCCTCATTCTTAATCTTATCTCTCCTAGTAGGCCTACACATCTATTTCAACATCCTCATTTTAGCAACTTGCATCTTCCGAATAAGAGAGTTCTTGACTGGTCAACATTCCGCCCTATACAACAAAGTGGTCTAACATCTACTTTGCAGAATTTACCTTTAAGTTTTGGTGGTACTCTTTTATCAGACAAGTATCCATAGGCGAGTCTCCATTTCATCCGCCCCTCACCAATACGATGTGTGACATCATCGTTGATCTCCTAATTTGTCACAACGTTATATATGACCCAAAGATAAGCAGAGTAATCAAAAGTCTACTAGCTAAGGAAAAATCTCACATGCACTTTTAACACTGTTTACCTCCAGATTTGTCCATGGTAAATACTAAACTATATGTTTGAACCAAATTAAATTAATTAGTCATGGTTAAGTGATTTTGATGAGATGAGAATAAATATTTAACTATGGTTAATTGATAGAAGTTTATGTGTAAACACATGACATGTATCTATACACGTTTTTGTGTGAACATAGAGTACAAATAAATTTTTACTGTTCTTCCTCTCTACTCTTTGTAAGTGAAATCTATGTATTTCTTAATATAAAAATGATTTACATTTTTTTGTCATCAAAAAAAAAAAATGATATACTTTCGGACTTCAATTCTAATTGTCATTGTAGTTAATTAATAAAGTTGTGGAGCATTAGATGTAATAAGATCGGCAAATACAGCTCTAGAGTAACACATTCGAATTTCATAGATGTGTTATGACTATCTTTGTGTAGTCAGAATTTTACATATCACAGCGGCAGAAGCAGACAAGAACCGGAACAAAAGAAAATATATGAATTTTCATGAATTTCACTTCAAAATAGAAACTAATTAGAAGTAAAAAATTAATAATCTAAAACACTCATCCCATCACTCTATGTCTTCATAACTCCAATATTACTTCCTTAATCAGCAACTTGATTTCTGGAAAAGTACCTTACAAACATTTGGAGTAACCATTAACATTCCTCCAATATTGTTATCCAATAAGAACTCAACTTCTAAACCTTCGGAAGAAGCTTGGAGTGCTCCACAGTTTATGGGAGAATGTACCTCATGATGGTTCTTTGAACTTTCCTACTTAAACTTACCAAAATTTAGCGGAATGACCTTTTCCCCATAATTTGCATTAAATCTAACGAACATAGATTGTTATACATTTTACGGAGATGAAAAGTGTTAACTTTTGGCAAACTTAAAGCACCAAAATTGTTCAGTGCATAGGTACTATTTTGAACCTACCCTCGAGCATAAGAAATCTGTTTTTTTTTTTTTCATTTTCTCAAGAACTGCAGATGCTAAATTTAGCCTGTTTGAACCTCTTTTTAACTATATTTCCCTTAGGTTATACTTATTTCTCTTCAACGGATTAGTAGTTTTTTTTCTATATGCTGGAATTGGATTAAGTTTGCTGAAACTGGTGCTGGATAAGATGGATACCCATATTATTCATCACTCAACCCATTATTTATCCATAAAATATAGTAAGTTGGATAATTCATCCGTTTTTGTCTAACTTGTCCATATTCGATTCGACCCGCTCATTTGCCAGCTCTACACATGGTGAATTTCCCTTTTATTTTGTATCCAGTGATAAATAGCCTAATTTCGAGGGTCTTCACTGTCCTCGTTGCTGTGAAGTAGCTCGCCAGCCCCATTGAAGGCAAACAACGACATTGTATGGCTATTCCTCTATTTCGAGGTTTCCGAAGACTTCCGTTACTTTCACTTCACAGGCCTCTATCCTCTTCCTCTACCTCTTACAGGTAAAGCTAATGTCTTTTTAAAAATTTCTTCACTTGTTTTTCTAGTTAATTTTGATTATCTGGAGTATGTCTGATTTAATTTTGATTATCTCCCACTTTTGTCTCTATATTCAGGCCAATTCTTGGAAACCCAGAAAGCTTTTTGCACTTGTCAAGGTTTGTGCCTCAGAATAGCTTAATCCGACAAAACCCATGTTGGGACTTCAGGAACTTTAGCCATGGAAGTGTGAATTTTGTTATAACAAAAGATGGGAAACCCAAGTTTGAGACACATGAAGTGGAAGCACCAAAGAAAGAGAAATGGAAGACAAAGAAGAGGCTGAAACTGCAAAGGAAGAGAGAGAAGAAGAAGAGAAATGCTGCAAATAAGAGGGATCCAAGAAGGCTTGGTCTAAAGGGGAAGAAGAAGAAGCAGAAGTTTGACACTGCTGAAGAAAGAATTAAGCAGAAGATAGAAAATGTGAGCTAGTGATTTTCCCTTTTCACTTAGGAGCCAATGATTGATTTTGTCATTAGTACTCCTGCTGCTGCTGCTGCTGAGGATTTATATCACCTACCCCAACTTGTTTGGAATTGAGATGTAGTTCTTGTGTGTTTAACTATTACCACTACTATGGCTCAATCCCGAACTATTTGGTCTTGACTGTATGTCTTCTCGATATCCATCCCATTCCATTTGGACCAGTATGATAGTTATCTTTATATTAGCTTAATAATCTGCAATAGCATAAAGAATGAACTGAATTGAAGAACTTGGGCAGGGTAATGATTTATAAGAATCTTGGGAATGAGCTTCAACCTATTTTCTTCAATTTGGTTGACAAGAAAATAAATTAGAAGGGGAAGTTGGAAGGAAGATATAGGAAGCTGGAGGAAAATGACAAATAGATCTATACATGTGTTATTTGTTGGTATTGTTAAACTTCTTGAGTAATCTTTTATATTACTTCTTCTCATTTGATACTCATATATTAGAGCGAGGTTGTAGAAGCATTATTGAACCCGGATTTGTCTCTTTCCCTTATCTTCTTGGCTGTGTTTTTCGTAGTAATTGCAAAGATCTATTTTCTCTATGATTTCAGCGTGGAAATACTTATTGAGTACAGTTATTTTCTTGAAACTGGAGAAAGAAAGGAACCTCTTTACTTTTTAATTACTTTTAGCTTTTGTGTCATCTACTGAAAACCAAGTTACAGCAAGTGTGCCTGTTTGCGTGGTTGCTACCTCACTGAAGCATGGAAGACATTTCGTAGTTAAGGTTTTATATCTATCTTACCTTTTTCCTGGTTTAGTATGTGAAGAATTCGGTGTGGTCACCTTATGTTTGTGTTTATTGAAGCTAAGATTTGTTTTATTCCCATTTCCATTTGACTTCTATACGAAAACAATGTAGTTTTTTATTTTAACAAAAGCTGACATGTTTTGGCTTGGGTCAGGCAAAAGTCAAAGAAGCTTTGTTAATTGAGAGACTAAAGCGATATGAGGTTTCCAAAGTTCAAGGTCCTGAGGTTAAGCCACACTTTCTCACTGGCGAAGAACAATTCTATATCAAAAAGATGGGGCAAAAAAGGTCTAATTATGTGCCAATTGGCAGAAGGGGAGTCTTTGGAGGTGTTATTCTTAATATGCATTTACATTGGAAAAAGCATGAAACAGTCAAAGTCATATGCAAACCTGGTCAAGTCCAAGAATATGCCGATGAAATTGCAAGACTGAGTGGCGGCATCCCAATTCAGATAATTGCAGATGATACAATAGTTTTTTACAGAGGAAGGGATTATGTGCAACCCGAAATTATGTCTCCTATTGATACACTGTCGAAGAAGAAGGTAAGTTTGTTAGAGCTAAATTTCTTTAATTACCAAGTAATTGTTTCTCATCATGCATTTATGTAGTGTGCATAGTCCTTCTACCATCAACATTCCCACCAGCTTTCACTGTCATTCTCTTTCAATTGATGCGTGGATCCTTCATTTTCTCGATCTTCCTATGCCAAACAGGTATGCAATAGGTGTGGGTACTTGTGTGGATGATTTGAAATTTTTCTAAAAATCATCAAAGACTTCACGTACCCGTAATATATATGTATATCCTATACATACCTGTAGCTGAATCCATGTTTAACAGCTTATTGTTGACCTGGCTCATAGATTCAGCTGGGTTAATATATCAAGGTAGATCATCTGAAATCCACCTCAACAGCCACTCTCCTACCCTTTTGTGACTTGTATTATTCACTGTACATCACAAAAGAACCACATCCTTCATTGCACCACAGATATCCCATTACAGTTTGCAATTTCATCCTTTTACATCAACATTCTTTATTGCTTCATTTGTCATAAATTTCCACGAAATGATCGGGTTGGTTTTTGCATTGTTTGGTGATGGTTGGAACTGTGAGATTTGGTTGCAGAATGTTTAATTCATTGATTATTGTTTAGTTTGAAATTGAAACTAAATGTTGTGACTTATGAGCTTTGATCATCATTTTTTTTTCCGCAGGGATGTACACCAAAAATAACTTTTATTTTACTCAGATTATCTGTTACTTTATATCCTGAAAAGCATAGCGATCTTGTTCTGCAAATAGGCCTTTGGATACTTAACTTACCATTTATGCCATCACTGTCTGCTCACAGACATTTATTAGTTCCACACTCTGTTCCTCACATGTTTACTGCTCCTTTGGGAATCAGTTCACTATACTTATGGCATAAGGGTTTGACTTTTAATATTTTGACTGTCCTATTTACCTATATCTTTGTTTTATCTATTTGGTTTCAACCATGGTAAGAATTACTGGTCAATTCTCCTTCTTCAGGCATTAGAAAAATCCAAGTATGAGCAGTCGCTAGAGTCTGTGAGACGTTTCATTGCCATTGCTGAGAAGGAACTTGAACTCTACTACAGACATGTCGCCCTATATGGTGACCCAAGTAATCGGAGTGCTTACTCCATCCTTGATGATTCAAGAAGCACAAGAGGAAAACGAAATGCCGAGATAGGAGAGGAGAACTATTCAGCAAGCGAATCTAATTTGTCGGATCTTGAGTTGGAAATTGATGATAGTTGTTCTGATGACAACCAGTCTTTAAGTTAATTTGAATTTGAGGATACTAACGAATCAAGTAGTGATGACTTGGACTTTTGGGGAGGGGGCACTAGGAATTACTTAGGTAACATATAGGGAACTACTAGTAAATATTCCGAAGTTAATCCTGGTAGTCAAGAATTTCTTGGATTTGAAGATTGAGACCTGAAATATTGTGGTTTTAATTCTTGCTCTGATAATTGAGGAACCAGAATAGAATAGGAGTTTTCAATTCCAAATCTTCTGTTTGGTTGTCCTGAAAACTGCACAAAAACTAGAATTTGATCCTAAATTTGCCTGACCCAATTTCATGAACTAATTCTATAGTCCAGCTTAAAATTTCAGATTCTAATTTATAGTTTACCTTTCCAATTGGTTTCCTTGTATGGACGCTGGACTTTAACAAGAAGGAATGCTGGTGAGGTTATCTAAGGGATCCTCCTCCTTGTGTTGGCAATATCTGACCTGATTGTTGATGTTTGTAACTTGACGGTGAAATCCACTTTTATTTCTTCAATTGATGGCTGAAAGGATTTCTTCAAAGCTTCTATAAAATCTTCGTGGGCATATCTTGGTTACAGTTTTGATTCCCGCGGAACTGCAATATATTCAGGTTTGGTTGAAGAGAAGGGACAGATATTTTCCTGGTAAGTTTTTGCTACTATATATTTTTACACCTTATCTTTTTGCTGACATGGATCAAATTGGAATTGGTTCTGCAGTTTGGTTGATCTTTGATCTTTTTTAAAACATGGGTGGAGTCATTTTATGCCTTCTAAAATTTTGTTTAGGGAATCACTATTCTGGAACTCAAAGCTTGAGCTTCTCTCCCAGCTCTCTCTTTTGTCTTGATTTCTAAAATTTCATATTGATAAATTTGAATTTGGTTTTGATAGTATTGGGGCCAAGCCCGCAAATTTGCAATACCTGATCATCTCATGTATGCTTTTTGGCAAATTTAAGCCCTTATATAGCTTGATTTCCTGCTCAACACAGCATAGTTGTTTTTTGTGATACTCGACTGTACGTTATTGATCAACCTTATCTTGCTTCTAAAATATGATATTTCAATTACGAACCAGTTTTAGCAAAATATACCAATGTTATCTACTTGAACTTCATATCTTAGAGTTCGTATTATCCCTCACTTACAGTTCTAAGCACAATATGCCTCTGCAAGACCTTTCTGCCCTTTCGCATTGTTGCTAGATACTTCGTTCTTTGATTATGATATGTATATTTTATGCCTGCGTCATGTTTTTCTTAAAATTCATTCAGCAATGGTGGCTGAATTTTGGTAAATGGTACAACCACCTCATCTCGGAATTAACTAGGAAGTAGTAACACCTCAATTTTTATCTGTGTTTATCGCAACTTTCTAACGATATAATATATATGAAGCTGTTAATTAGCAAGCAATAGTTGGAGTTCTTTCAGTACTTTGAGTTGTTCTTAAGTAACTTTGCTGAACCGATCATGTCATAATTTTCCATCTCTTCTCTAGATATATTGGATCAACTTTACTTTTGTCCTTGGACTTTTTGGCTGATATTGATACCTTTTTTAATCTTTCCTCACCCTATTATCCAGACAATGGCTGCAAAGAAAAGCATCATGTCAACGTTTAATAGACAGAGTTACTCGGTACATATGCTTGTGTTGGAGCGAGGAGGTAGCGGATATTCAGTGGAATAGATGAACCAGGTGGTGGATGGTATTCCTTTGTAACCATGTTTTGTAACATCTACTAATTCTTATTTATTTTAAGAGGCATTACAGCTTGATTTGTCATTTAAAAGAACATATTTGTATTTTGCAAGTTGATAATTAAAATATATGTATTGCCTACATGTATTTTTTGTTTAATAGAAGAGATTATTTTGGTCATTTTATAATTTTAATCTCCGTATTCCTTATTTGTTCATGTCTTTTGCTCCACATAAAAAATACACAATTTTTTTGCGTAACTTATGCAAATTTTATTTATGAGGGTAACAAAAATGACAATCAAATAGTGTCATGGATAATGTTATATGTTATGCAAGTATCCAAAGGTTAACCAAATATAGTATAGTCTGCAAGATTTATGCAGGTATTATAATATGGAAAAATTATAGAAATTTTACCTTTTAGTTTACTTATTATCATTATCCTCTATAAGTTTTACAAATTTCCAAAATCCCTCATTTTCGCGCATCAGATTAGTGTATCTTGCGCATCAGATTAATGTATCAGCGCTTATATTATTGTATCTCGCGCATCAGATTAGTGTATCATGTATAAAATGTACATCAGATTAATGTATCATGCATAAAATGTAATGTATCTTACTTAACAATTAATGTATCTCGCGCATCAGATTAATATAGCAGTGCTTATATTATTGTATTCGTTTGAGGGATTTCTGTAATTATAAACTTTTAAGGGATATATTGTAATTTTGCCTTAAAAGTATGTGATTTGTGTAATTTGCCCTAATAATAACTTACTGATATAACCAAGGCCAAGTACATACGGAGACACCTAAATTTGGTTCGAAATTCCACTTAGACACCTAAATTTAGCAATGATCCCATTGACCACCTAGAAATTTAGAGATAATCCTATCCATGGCGTAGGAGAGGATTCTAAACAATTCTATCGAGCCGAACAACAAAAAGAGAAAGATGGAATACATTTCTTAGGTAGCCTAGCGTGCTATAAACCTATAGGGATAGCCACAAGTAATGAAGGGTGGTCAGTTGAATATTTTTCATTAAAAACTTATACTATATATATCCAAAATTATAAGAAGTATACATATCAAAAATTATTTTTCACGCGTATATATTAAATCTTTAACAAATATTTGACGTCACCACTGCATCTACCAAGTATCATATCCTAAAGTTCAAAACTCCTAGTGAAATTTCAAGAGGACCAGGACCATGCCCGTTTGGATTGGCTTTAAAAAGTAGTTTTTAAGTCAAAAATAAAAAGTTAACTTAAATGGCTTTTAAGTCGAAATATAAAAAGTAGGGGTGACTTACTTTTGGTTTTTAACTTATTTTAAGTTATTTTTAACACTGTCAAACACTTCCTAACTTATTTTAAATCATTAAGGTTAAAATAAGTTTAAAATGACTTAAAATAAGTTAACAATCAAAAGTTGGTCACCTCCTACTTTTTTTTTTTGACTTAGAAGTCATTTATGTTTTAACTTTTTATTTTTGATTTAAAAACTATTTTTTTAAGTCAATCCAAACAGACTCTTACTCTTTTTGACTTATGAAGTTGGTTTGGAACTTCCTTCTGACTATACAGCTGTTTCATTGCAAAACTTGTTAACAAAATCTGTGTAATGCAAGCATATCCCAATGAGTTTGAATACTCCCACCGTTACGATTTATTTGTCATGTTTTAACTTGACACGAAATTTAAGAAAGTAAAAAAGATTTTAAAATCTTGAGGCCTTAAATTAAAGATATGTCAAATGTATCAAATATCTTTTAAATTTGTGGTATTAAATATACTACTTAAAAAGTTAAAACTAAAAAGTTGCCAAAAAAAATATGACAAAAAAATAGAAATGGAGAAGTAAGCAATACTTTCTTTTTAGCTATAATTACGTGCGCCTCTCTCCTATTTTCCTCTCTCTCGCCTCTCTCATATCTTATACATATACAAATACAAATTATACATGTATATATACAATTATATGACAAATATACAAATACAATTGTTCTCTCTCCACTCTTTGTCCTCTCTCGCTCGCCTCTCTCCTTCCTCTCCCAATCTTGCTCGCCTCTTTCCTCCCTTTCCCAATCTCGCTCGCCAGATATACAAATATATATACATACCAGTTACATATATACAATTATCTAACATATATACATATACAATTTGACAGTTACAAATACAAATCATCTCTCTCCACTATCGCTCGATCTCTCTTCCCTCTAACATGTAGCTACAAATCGTAACTAGCAAACTATAATTATGAAGCCTAATTAAGTTATTTTAATGGCTATTTCTGAAATTTCCCAATTATATTTTAATTAGCATCCCAAAAATATGATTATTTGTCAAGATCACCCAAAAAAATGTCCCACTCTTTTAGGCCTAAAAAATGGGACTTTAGGAGTAAGAAATTCACCTTTCTTAACAAAATCTTACTCTTATATATTTGAAGTTGATTTCTTATATGTCATCTAAAGTACTGAGAAAACCCTATTAATATTAATTTTGAATTCTTCTTTCTTGTATGATTATTTAAATATGGAAAAATTACAGAAATCCCACATTTTAGTTTACTTATTACCATTATCTCCTATAAGTTTTACAAATCTTCAAAATCCCTCATTTCCGCGCATCAAATTAGTGTATCTCGCGCATCAGATTAGTGTATCATGTATAAAATGTACATCAGACTAGTGTATCATGTATAAAATGTAATGTATTTTACTTAACGATTAATGTATCTCGCGCATCAGATTAATGTATCAGCGCTTATATTATTGTATCCGTTTGAGGGATTTCTGTAATTATAAACTTTTAAGGGATAAATTGTAATTTTGCCTTAAAAGTATGTGATTTCTGTAATTTGCCCTTTAAATATTGAGAAAATTCTACTTAAATCACTTTTCATTTTTTCTTCTCTATAAGGTCATTCAATTATATAGAGTTTTAGAGAGCAGCCTTCGCTTTTGGCGTTCCTTCGTAGATCTCCGGATTTCACCCCTATACACGAAATTCCACTCTCCTCTGTCTCACTCATAATCGATATGTCATGCCATATAAAAAAATTTAATCAGATACACAAATTCCTTAAATATAGTATTGAAAAAATTTAAAGTCCTTAATTAATGATAAATTAGCAATTCAAATTATTTTATCTCACCTATGTTGTTTCCCTTCCCCAATTTCATTACCCATCTGTATCTCTCACCCCCACCCTCCACGATCTTCAAACATCTCCACCATCTTCCTCTCTTTCTTAATCCTCTCAATACATGTTTACATGTCTCAAATTCAAAATTAAATTTTGATAATCAGAAGTATACA